ACTTACAAATGGAAGAATTAGTATTACTTAAGTATTTTTGTTTTTATTTTCCAGATAAAAATTTCAAAGTGGAGGTGACAGATGTGCCCATGATAGGAAACATTAACAAGTCTGTAAAAATGTCAAAAAGTAGCTAACTTAGAAGGCACCGGTTCAATGGTATGTAGCTCAACAGTTAAAGGAAAGAGCATCTAAGGCAGGGGATCATGATGTGGTGGGTGGACCCCATCTCAGTCCTGACCCCATGATAACAGAGCCTCACACATTATCAATGTCATTGAGGACATTACCTTGCCTTGTCACTCAAAGGGATTGCCAACTGTCCAGGAATGCCCTGTAGGGGAATTAAAGAGAAACATTCTGGACATCCCTATGAGTTAAACCCAGTCAGAAAATCCATATGGGAGAGCAACGTAAAACAGATGGTGCATCTGTTTCGTTTATTTTGAACAGGTTAATTTATTACTTGTGAACATATTGGAGGTGGCGAGGAAGACTATGTCAGACCGAGTGAAGATGTTGAAGGCTAAAGGTCCTGTGTGGTGAAAGTTGCAGGGTAACCTCTAAACAGAGTTGGCAAACTCGGCTGTGACTCTGTAGGTAGCTTCCATCACAAGACAAATCAATTTGAGAAATCAGCAGTGTCCCACAGGTTAGTTCTAGAAATTGAGAGAGGGCAGAGTGGTGTGTTTGTGAATGACAGATTGATTCAGTTGGGGGAGGGGAGGTTGAGTGTGATTGCTGAAACTGTGGAGTCAGAGACAGCTTGACCATAGTCAATAAATGTCTTGAGAGTGGTGGGCTTGGTTTTTGTACCAACCTACAACATATTAATTCCTGAGGAATTTTTCAATGAAGTCACTTCCCTGTGCAAACAAACAGCTCAAGTACAAAACACATGCAAAGTCTTTAGATTCTGTTTTGAAACAACTGCAGAAACAGCCCAGTTATACTTCATTACATGTTCCTTGGGCATTCCCCAATTTCTAAATAATTTACTATCACTGAATGACCTTTGTTTGCATATGATAATATATGGCTATTAAAATTCAAACACTGTACACATGTTGTAAATAATTGCATTCCAATATGTTTGTGCAATCAATAAAACCAGTTTGTTGCAATATTCTTTCATAGTTTCCAGGTGGTTACTCTGTGTCTTGTTGCAGGGGTGTGAATTTGATTTCACCCACTCCTGCCTTTGAATGACACTCACTGCATTGTGTCCCTGATTTTAACTTGCTTTGATTTGGAGTCAGTGCTAATTTGTGCTACACAAAGATTGAAGGAGTTCTATTTTCCAGACCAATGTAGTCATGGCTAAGGAATTACATTTCAGAGTTGGCCCCTCTAACCTCACACACCCCTTCCCTTGCCCAGTGTGATATTGACCCATACAAACCAAGTAGCCTCAGCTCAGCTAATCAAATCCATCATTCTCTAGCAGTCTATGATACAAGGGGGACTCTTTTGCTGCAGTGGTAGTAATGTTGCCTCTGAGCCAGCAGGTCTGGGTTCAATCCCATCTTCTCCATCAGTGTGTAATAACATCTCTGAACAAGTTGATTAAAAGTATCTATAATATTCAAGGACATAGGTGAAGAAACCACCAGTGGTGATGAGTTTTGGGAGAACTATGGCCTGAATTGTTATAAAGATAGAGAGTGACCCTGACTTAATTAAAATAGCAAGAAGCTTTGATTCTAGAAGCCATTCCCCTCCAACCTGGCACTCACCATTTTCATCAGGTGGGAAATGGGAGCAGCTTGTATTTTACAGATCATAGGGGCATGGAGACAGCTACACATGTTAAAGTGCAGCTGCTTTCAACCAATTTTAACAACTGAGATGTCCAAAACACAACTAGTGGGCTTTAGAACTTGCTGGAGAAAGTCTAAAGCTGTTAGAGTTCTTTGCAGGCATTGGGCACCCTTTTGGAGAGATAAAATATGTTTTTTTGCATAGGTACAAAAACAGCTTTGGGAGATCTTGGATAGTCTTTCAGAGAGGTCAGGTGCATTTAGGAGACTTCAAGTCTTTATTGGAATCATTAAAAGTAGATGTGAATGTGCATATGAAAGAAACATGCTGGAACAGTCAAGCTCATTGGAACTATTAAGCTGTCAAGAGACTTGTCAGTTTGTCAAAGGAACTGTTAAGGCTATTAAATCTCTTGGTCTTTAAATTTTTGAAAAAAAAAACTGCAGTGTAAAAATATCAGGACATGCTATTTCACTCTGTTGACATGAGACTTGGCAGCTATCATTATATAATTGGTCCTGCATAACTGATTTCACAAGGTACAATTATGACAATAAGCTATATGTTCATAGTTTGACAAATGTATATAAATATATTTATAAATTGGGGATATGAAGGCAAATGTTTGTTTTATAAGGCATTAAGTAGGTGAAATAAGTTAATTCGAATGAATGGGTTTTATGCCAATAAGTTTTTGTTTAATAAAACAAAGAACTATGGATGCTGGAAATCTGAAAAGCAGGAACTCAGCAGGTCTGGCAGCATCTACAAAGAGAAAACAAAGTTAAAATTTCAAGTCCAATGACTTCTTCAGAACTGATAGCAGCTAGGAATGCTTAATGCTGAAGACAGGTATTTGGCAGTGAGTGGTGTGTACGGTGAGTAGATAGGTGGATATGGAGCCCAGAGAGAGAATCATAGTTAGACAGACACGGGATGGATGATAATATGCTGAGGAGAAAGAAAAGCTGATAATGAGAACTATGTAGGTGTGGGTAGAAGACATAAAAGAAGGTATTTGAGTTCGAAAACTATAGAACCTTATATTAAGTCCTGAAGGTTGCAGGATCCCCAAGTGGGAAATGACTTGCTGTTCTTCTAGTTTGTGTTGAGCTTTGCGGTAGCACTGCAAAAAGCCTGAGATGGAGATGTTGGCCAGGGAACATAGTGGCATTTTGAAGTGGCAGGTAACTGGAAGCTTGGGGTAATTTTTCTGGACAGAATGTAGATGTTCTGCAAAGCAGTCACCCAGTCTGTGCTTCATTTCCCCAATGCAGGGTAGACAACATTGTGAGCAATGAATACAGTAGACAAGATTGAGTGAAGTGCAGATAAATTGCTGCTTCACCTGGAAGGTGTGTCTGGACCTTGGATAGTCAGGAGGGAGGAGGTAAACAGGCAAGTGAAGCACTTTCTGCAGTTGCAATGGGAAGGTGCTGGGGATATGAGGAAGTGTTGGGAGTGGAAGATGAGTGGACGAGGGTGTCCCACAGAGCGACAGTGCTGACAAGGGAGGGAATATGTGTCTGGAGGTTGCATCCTACTGGAGGTGGTGGAAAGAGCAGCTTATGATCCTTTGGATGCAGATCCTTGTGGGGTGGAAAGTGAGTACTGGGGGACCCTCTTGCTGTTATGGGAGGGAAGAGAAGAGGTGAAGGCAGAAGTACAAGAAATGAGTCAGACCTAACAGCCCTGTCAATCACAGTCACTCTACCAGCTAAGTTTTGTTAAACTTGTAAATTCATCAATCGACACTTTCGAATTTTATTCTATTTCATCTCAGCATGCTTCTTGGGTTTACCTAAGGTGGATACTGGATGAGTTGGCATGAAAGATAGAAGGACAAAGGTGATAGGTGGGGTGCATGTATTGGCATGAGTTGTTACTAAGTTGACATAGGGGCTAAAGATGAGCATGGGAAGTGGGTAGAGGAGCATAGGCTGGCACAGAGGGCATGAGGAATCATGGGGGTGATTGGAGGAGCATAGTTTGAAATGGAGGATGTGAAGGGCCATGGGTGGGTGCTAAGGTCTGCAGGGCTGATTTTCATTTTATTGCCTTTTAACAGCTGTGTGAAGACCCAGGTCTTCAAGGCAGGCCATTCCTACCAGCTGACTCTGTAACTGATAGCTCCTGTGTCTGCATTCCAATGATTTCGGAGGGCAACAGGCATGACTCCAGCTATCAATTGCCCCTCCAGAATGAAAACTTAACTGACCACAACACATTCTCCAAAGTTGGGTTTATGGAGCTGGGAGTTTTTCCAACTCTGCATTCCCAACTTGGGAGTGAAAATTCAGGCATTTAGATTCAACATCACCTGCAAACCACTTCTAACACTTTCTCTGACTTGAGGTATTCACTTACTCATTCTGTTTATTCCAAGATGTTATTTTCACAAAGAAACTTCACTAATTTGTGATTTGAATGAATTAGAGCTAACAT